GTTCTCCTTTTAGTACAATAAATCATTAGTCCCACGAGCATTATCCGGTCCATCAAAGCTCCTTGTGCAGCACATTAACTCTCTGCTTTTGCTGGTCTGGGAAACAAACCACAATAACTCTTTCATAAATGTTGCAAGAAGAGTAAAACACAACCTGCAGTGCAGCACTTCTTCCCCTCCCCACAAAGTGAAAAGCGTGAGATGAAAGAACTTTTCTTAACATGTCGAAGTCATCAGACCATCACATTCATCACTGGGTCACCCTCCATCAGCAAAGTACTTCCTGCTCCATGGGGAGAAAAATTGATAGCACATTGTCTGTTTGCTCAATGGCTGCCTTAGATTACATGGTTAAAACATATAGTTTCTTTTAAAGAGTCATTAAAGCTTCCTCCACGCGGCTCACATTTAAAAGCACCGACTGCACTTTCGTTTCCTCTTGTTGTACATAGAGCAGAGTAGATATTTCTCAGGTGAGGGATATTTTAATACAAAAATGGAAACGTGGGCCAATTACAGGTTTGGGTGCTTGAAGTGATTTAAAACATGCATGTAATTCATCTTAGGTAGTCTGAAACTTTAGCATCAACACTGATGAAAATGGCTTAAATAAGTTAAATAATTGCTAAAATTCGAATGCATAAAATGTTTTGCTGGTTTGAAAAGGTTCATAAATGATTCTACAACTACATGTGGCGACATAAGTGAAGGATTCCAAACTTCACACTTAATTTTTCTAAATAATTTATTTAACATGAACATTTCTTAGCAGTGAGGCGAATCGCTTAATTGTCTAAACTTAAACTAAATGCTCCAGTCCCTTTGTATATAATTAATGGACAGGCGTTTAATTTTGCCAACAGACCAACATTTCAACACTACTGTGTCTTCAGATGATTGAAATGTTGCACAATTAAAAAGCTGTGACCTCATATGTGCGCCCTTGTCCCTTCTTTCCTTAAGTTTGGTAATATCCAGCTGAGATGCACCTGATACACTTTGGTGGAATACAGCTTTAGTTTAATAATAATTTGATTAGATAGGAGTTTTTGAAAATTCTGGTCACAGATTTTAAATCATTTTTCATCATTTGAACCTCAGAAACAAATAAATGCTATTTGCAATCTGTTACAGAAACGTTGTTTTGTTTTGTTTTTAAATGTAAACACCTAAGGTTCAACACTCAAGTTCATACATGACTGAAACTCATTTGCTCTCCAGTATTTAGTCTCTGTCTCCATCTAGTGGCCAGATGGTAAACCTAACAATGAATATAT